GGGGGGGGGGGGGGGGGGGGGGGGGGGGGGGGGGGCGTCACAGCAGGGCACGAGGGCAACGCAGCCAGCGAAAGCAAACAATGGTTCGACCTGCGTACGCTTTCTCGCCGAATACACACGGAACTCCACCGAAGGTCACCTGGTGCATCTCCTTCATCGCCTCGTCGTAGAAGGCCGCCGCCAGCAGCGTTTGCTGAATTAGCCCGAGGTTGACGAACAGCACCGTCACCCGCCGAATCTTCGAAGCATGAGCAAAGAAAACGAAGAAGCGAGACCGTCAAGTGCGAAGAAACCAGAGGTCGTTTTCACCAAAACACGTAGACAAAAACGATACATTCTGACAAAACAACACAAAAAAAGGAACCTCCTTCACGCACGAGAGCAAATTAGTCTATCCGGCAAGCTTCAGAAAAACGCCATCGCAAACAAGTAACACTACAGCCGAGCGCGTGTCACAGCCTCTCGCTGGCGCACACTCTACCGCCGTTTCGCCTCATCAGATTGACTGCCCCCCCCCCCCCNTGTGTCAACGAACGCTGCTGCAGCTTCCGGCAGCATGCACACGCACCTCGTTGCTCCACTGCTCGTCCTCGGGACTGTCAAGCCGAAGGTTCCTCATGACGGCGCTGGGAATGTACCCCGTGGCCTTCACATCCAGCAGGGGGTCGTCTTCCAAGGTCTGCTGCAGCATCCGCATCTTGTTCTGCTTGCGCATGGGGTTGTAGTTCTGGTCCTTGGTGATGCGGCAGTAGCCGTCGTCGAAGCGGTGGTTGTTGCGAAAGTGGCCCTTCACGAGCTTGTGCGCCTCCATGGAGATGATGACCTGGGATAGAATTGGGTGCGTACGGGACGGAGAGACAGAGAGAAGAGAAAGACGGAGAGAAGGAGTGAACCTGCGCCCCACGCCTCCCCCTGGCGATTTATCCCGAGTGCTCATGCCACACACCATCGCCTACCACCCACGTGCCTCAAATTTCCCTGCTCCCCCGCCCCCGGTGGTCCTCTAGCGCTTGGTGTGCTCTCGAGCAAACGCCGACTTTCCGTTTCAGCTAACGTGGTAAAACATGGCATTCAGAAGCTCGCAAGCAGTGTGATTGCGAGCTCGTATCGACGGAGTAGCGGCGGCTTGCCAGCTTCGAGGTGGCGCTGGAGCATCGCGACGTAGCCGCGCAGATCCGCCTGACTAGGAGCTAGCAGGCCCCGAAGAGCTCTCCCAAACCCATGGCAGCTCGCTCCCGCCATGGGACATCAGTTTCAAGGTGACTCCAGGCGCAAGATCAATACTCGAGGTTCACGCTTAGCGTTATGCGTACTCCACAGCAGTGCAGGCTCCCCGAAAACTAAGGGTGCGAGAGTAAACAAAGGTCGTCTCCCATAGATTGTTATTCTCGCCACCGACAATGAGCAGATACCTGAAGCACGCCATTACATGCATGTGTGTATGTGTTCGTCCCTTGTATGCTGGCGACGTCGAATATGATGCAGACTCCGCCATGGGGAGACGGCATTGCACGACCGGCGGCTATGTCGACGAACGCTCTATGAAACCAACGCCCACACACGCAACGGCAGGAGCACACCCACACAAGTGTTGATACCGCATGCTTTATGGCGTTTGGGCTAGCAACTGCAAGTCAGAAGAGGCAGAACAAAAAGAGTCGCGTGGTGCATGCATGTGTGTGTTGTGTTTTCGTCCTGTTTATTATGGCGACAGTCCCCCCCCCATTTTTCGTGGTGAGACGTGTACTACACTCTTCAGCGTATGTAGAGTACTACACTTTTCAGTGTATTTTTTCGTACAACTACAACCATCCAGGGTCACACAGGAGGGGGTAAACACCAGGGCTTTTTTTCTTCTTTTTATTTCTTTTCATGCCCCACCTTCCTCCTGCGGTGGGTACTGAATTTTATTTTTATCGCGAGAAGGGTCCAGCCGTCCCTTTCCCTCGTTAACGGTGCTAACGTCGAAGTTTGGTACTCACGATAGCTTCGTAACTATATTTCGCTTTCACCCGCAAATTTCGTAAATTTTTCACCCCATGGGGAGTCGAACTCACGACCTCTGCGACTAGCGGATTACGAGGATACCACTAGACCACCGGGGCGACCGGCATGCAGAGCATGCAGCCAAAAAAAAAACAGCGAACCAGAGGGAAACACAGCAGTCAAAGTGGTCCGCACAAGGCAGGCAGTCCAACGGTAAATGCGCCCGCGGGCCCCCCCCCCCCCCCCCCCCCCCCCCCCCCCCCCCCCCCCCCCCCC